CCTGCGCAGGAGCGCCGAGATGTAGCCGTCCAGGGGCCGTCCGGCCGCCGCGTCGGGAGAGTTGGAGGGAGCGCGACCGTGCGGCCGAGGGCTGCGCAGGGCGACCGCGTGCAGCGGGCTCGGCGTCAGGAAAGGCCCAGCGCGCGCACGACGCTCCGCAGAGGAGCAGGCTTCAACGCCCGCCGACCCCGCCGCCGTCGGGTAGGGAGCGGAGAACGAGCGAGGCACCGCGGCCCGGGCGCCCACCGACTCCGGAGCGCTGGGACTGGCGTCGCCTAGGATTGAGAGAGAGAAAAAGAGGGGCAGAGGAAGGGAGAGAGAGGAGGGGCTCTCAAAGGCCCTTTTCTCAGCCAGACAGCGGGGCGTACGTCAGTCATCCCAGAACCCAGGAGCCCAACGCATGGGATTGCCTTAAATTCCAGGCCTGAGCTGTGTAACAAGTTCCCAGGCCCAAAAAAACATTGGACATGGTGGTACCTGCCTGGGATCCTAGGACTGGGGAGGTAGGGAGAGGAGGAGGATCAGGAGGAGTTCAGGGCCATCCTCAGCTCTGTTAGCAAGTTCAAGGCCAGCATAGGCCACGCATGAGACCCTGTCTCAGAAACAAAACAAAAACAGGGCTGAGGAAGGCTCAGCTGGCTGCTCTTTCAGAGGACCTGGGTTGGATTCTCAGGACCCACATGGCAGCCAACAACTCTAACTCCAGTTCCAGGGGATTCAGTGCCCTCTTCTGGCCTCCATGGGCATTGCACAACACAGGTGCACTTACATACATGCAGGCAAAACACTCATACACAGGGAAAAAAAAAAAAAACAACAACCAACTAAATTGGGCATAATTCCACATGTAATCACAGCACTGGGGGGACTGAAGTAGAAGGGTTGTTGAGAATTTGAGGCCAGTATGGTCTATACAGTCAGAATCTGTCTCAGAAAAAGCAACTGGGGACTGGAGAGGTAGCCCAGCTGTTAAAGCATGTGCATTGCTCTTGCAGAAGACCAGTTTGGTTCCCAGCACCCACATCAGGTGGTTCACAACCACCTATAACTCCAGTTCTAGGAATGAAATGTCCTCTGGCCTCCACAGAAACATGCACACATGTGGTACACATAAACTCATGCAGGCACACATACATACACATAGATAAATAAAATATTTTTTTTAAATTAGTAATGTAGATTTGATGGCACACTCTTGTAATCCCAACAAGTGGGGACAGGAGAATCAGGAGTTCAAAGTCATCCTCTGATACAGAGGAGTTTGGAGTCTACATAGAGTCCCAGGCCAGCCATGGGATTCATGGCTGTCTCCAACAAGAAGGACAAAATCAAGGCTTTTCTCACCCAGCCTGGATGGGGTCAACTACCTCCCCAAATCCCCACCTCACACATTCCATCCTATAAGCTTCACATGATCTCCACAAGATGCTATACCAGGTCCTGCTCTGACAGCTCTCACCCCACTTCTCACTTCTGGCCTTACAGTCATTTGTCTGCAGCTACACTGGGCTCCTGGAAGCCCAGAATAGCCACTCTGGCTTCAGGACCTTTGCATTCACCATTTTCCTTCTTTGTGGCCTTACTCTTCTGTCAGGATAGAGAGATGGAGCCTATTCTCTTATTTTACTTAATTGTTAGTCCCAGTAAGTCCCTCCCTGGCCATCATCTCTAAAATTGCAATTCCCTCTTGAAATTTAAAGGCCACTCTGGTTTATTTTATGTTTCCTCTTGAGACAGGGTCTCCCTATAGCCCCAGCTGGCCTGGAATTCAGTGTAGGCCAGGATGGCTTCAATCTCTCAGAGATCCACCTGCCTCTGCCTCCCAAATGCTAGAATTAAAGGAATGTGCAACCACATCCAGCTGGCCCTGAACTTCTGATCCACCTGCCTTCAACTGGGATCACAGGTATGTACTACCACACCTAGTTTATGTGGTGCTGGGGATCCAACTCAAGGCCTTATGCATTCTAGGCAAATACTCTACTAACTGAGCTACATTCTTAGCTGCTCCCCTCATTTTGACATAGCCCAGGCTGGTCCCAATGTATGATCCTCCTGCCTCAGCCTCCCAAGTGTCAGGATTACAAGTGTCCAATACCACAGCTGGCATACTTATGTATATAATCTCTGACTGAATTGACAAATGCTGGAGGGCTGAGAGACTACCTGCTTGCCCTAGACATACCTATGATGTAGATACTATTTAGACCCCATATCAACAGGTGGTTAAACAGAAGCACAGAAAGAAAATACTCAAACTACAGGAAGATTGAAGGTCATCTTCTGAATATGACTCAAGTTTATACTCAAAAAGTCGTCTGTTGACAATCCTTATCCCACGCCACAGGACCCCACTCCACCCACCTTACCTAGGGATTTGGGCCTCTCACTGGCATAGATGCCCCGGGGGTCTGAGGGACCTAGGCGTCCATAGGAGCCAGATCCGGAGAAGCCACTGTCGCCGCAGAAGGTGGAGGGTGGTGAATCTGGGCCTCCCGTGGAACTGGGGTCTTCATAGAAGCCTAGATTCCGGGGAGAAGCTGAGACAGTCAGGGGGCTGGGGTGAGGAAGGGAAGAGGTGGGTCAGGGAGAGATGGAGCATTCCTGATAGGGGACAGTGGAAAAGACTGGGGTGTCTGGGGCAGACCCTCACACTGCCACCCATTCTCACCCGAGCTTCGCCCACTCTCCTGGTCCAGGCCTGCAGATTCCAGACTCAGGTCTCCCAGCTGCTGGCCCAGGTCCCAGATGAGCCCAGGCAGGGCCTCCTAAGAACATGAGAGCAGGGTGTTCAGAAGGTTCAAGATCTTAGCCCACCGGCCTCCTGTTCTGTGAGCTCCTGGTAGATAGCCATTTTGACGGTGATGTCCTGACTTGGGAAGCCTATCTGTCCCTCATCCCCATTACAAAGTCCTTCTATCTACCTTCACGCTGTAGCTAGCCCCACCTACAATGTGACAGACTTCAAAAGGCCCCATCTCTTGGGCCCCCTCTGTCAGCTCTGACCCCTCCATGGGCTATGACCATCTGTGTGCACAGCTCCCTCAAACCTGTCAGAGCATCCCTCTTCTACTCTAACTTCGGGTCTTTTTTGGTTATTTTTTGTTGGTTTTTGAGTCAGGGTCTCAAGTAACCCAACCTGGTAAGGGAGCACTGAGATGGCTCCATCTGTGTCTGTTTTGAGACAGGGTTTCCCTGTAGTTTCAGCTGGCCTGGAACTTGCTCTGTAGACCAGACTGACCTCCATCTCGCAGAATCTGCCTGCCTCTGCCTGTCAGTGCCGGGACCAACTGTCTTTTTTGTTTGTGTGCCCGTGTTGGGTTCAGAGTTGATGTAAGGTGGCCTCTTCAATCCCTACCTTATTTTATTTTTTGCATTTATTTATTTTGTGTGTATGTGTCTTTGTACTAGTATGTGAGGTTCCAAGGACAACTTGTGGGAGTCAATTCTCTCCTTCCACCATGTAGGTCCCAGGGATAGAACTCAAGCTGTCAGGCTTGGCAGCAAGCACCTCTAACCACTGAGCCATCTTGCTGGCCCCTTATTAAATATTCATGCCATGCATGGTGATACAGACCTTTAGTCCCAGTACTCAGGATGCAGAAGTAGGTGGATCTCTGAGTTCAAAGCCAGCCTGGTCTACATAGTGTGTTCCAGGCTAGCTGGGGCTACAGGGAGACCTGTCTCAAATTTATTCATTCATTTATATTGCATGTGTCTGAGTGGTGTATGTGCCTGTGTGTGTGCACCTGTGCTGGAGGTCAGAAGAGGGCACCCTTCTTTATCATTCTCTGCCTATTCCTTTGGGGCAGGGTCTTTTCTTGAATCTGGGGCTCATGTTTTCTGGGCTGGCTGCAAGCCTGCAAGACCATGATACTCCTGTTCCTGGCCACATCAGAGCTGGGGTTACAGGCATGTGTGGGATGCCCAGTTTGTTATGTGGGTGCTGGGATCCAAATCCTGGTCTCCACGATTGCACAGCAAGCACTTTTAACTGCTGAGCAATCTTTTCACTCCCCTTAATGTTATTTTTTGAGTCAGGGTCCCTCACTGGGAGTGGGGCTCACTTGATCAGGCTAAACAGGTAGCCAGGGAACTTCAGCAACTCTCTTGTCTCTGCTGTCCCAGCACTGAGGTTGCAAAGGAGCACCACCACACCCCATTTTTTGCTTGGCTTTTAACAAAGGTGCTGAGATCCAAACTCTGGTCCTCATGCTTATGAGCCAGGCACTTTATGGAGCCATCTCCCTAACCCTGTCCCTCTCCTTTAAAAAAACTATTTTATGGGGTCTGGAGAGATGGCTCAGTGGTTAAGAACAATGATTATTCTTGCAGAGGACCTGGGTTCGATTTCCAGCACCCACATGGTGGCTACAAGCCATCCTTAACTCCAGTTCCAGGGGAATCCGAAGCCCTCTCTTGACCTCCGAGGCATTGCATGACCCGGGTGCGCTCACATACATGCAGGCAATATACTCGTACACATAATATTTTTTAAAAAATTATTTTATGTATGAGTGTTTTGCTTGCAAGTATGTGAGAGCACCCATGTCAGGCAATGCCTGAGGAAGCCAGAAGAGGGGGTCAGATCCCCTGGAGCTGGAATTTCAGACAGTTGTTAGTCACCATGTGGGTGCTGGGAACTGAAGCCAGGTCCTCGGCAAGAGCAGCCAGTGCTCTTAACCGCTGAGCCATCTTGCCAGTCCCTCCCACCCCATCTTCTTTCTTTTGAGACAGTCTCACTGTCACAAAGCCCAGGCTGGCCTCAAGCTCCCTCTGCAGAGAATGACCTTGAACTGATCTTCCTGCCCTCTGCTTTTAGCATGCTGAGGTAGCAGTTGTGAGCACCATACCCGGGCTTTAATTTCAGGTCTTCTTCCTGTAAGGGAGAGTTCAGTGCTAAAAGGTGCTGTGCAGGAGTGGTCAGATGCAAAGGTGGCTGAGGGGTGGCCCCCTATTCAGCATTGACCCTCCTTTCTTAGGTGGGTCTCACCCCTGTAGGGTGGTTTAGTGTAATATCCTCTTCGAGCCTCCTCTAAGTGCCTTCTGCTGCAGACTAGCCCCCTCGTACACATGAAATACATGCACCCGGGCTCATATACCCCTTTGCTCCTCCCCTCAGAAAGAACCACACACTGTGCTTCCCGGAAGTACCTCAAGTCTAGCCTCACAAACCAAGTTTCAAGAGCCCAAGATAGTGAGTGGGGATGCACCTCAGTTGGAAGACCCCTTGCCGGACATGCACATAGCCCTGGGTTCAATCCCCAGCATTGCATAAATCCAGGATGGTGACACACACCTGTAATCCCTGATCTGCTCTCACTGGGGAGGTGGAGGGAGGAGGATTAGGAGTTCAGTCATCCTTGGTTACATAGTGAGTTCAGAGGGGGCAGCCCGGGAAACGGCAGACCCTCTATCAAATTTAACATTTTAGGGCTTAATCTTATTTTAGAAGACACAGAACCAGGGACAGGGAATGTCTCTCAGGGGACTGAGCCAGGCCAGAGGTAGCCGCTGCCTGGGGCAGACCGTTGACCCTCAGACAAAAGCAGCTTGTCTGGCCGCTGGCGGGAGGGCGGGGAGGAGGGAGGAGGGGCGGGGACAGGCATTCAGCCCTACCTATTTAGGGCAGAAAGACTGGTCTGGCTCCGGGCAGCAGCCACAGCACCCCCCCTCCAACCCCCGTCCCCAGCCCTTGACTCCTCCAGGCCTGGCCCCCTCTGCACCCAGAACAGAAGCTCCCATGTGGTCCTGTCCATGCAACCAAGGTCAACAAGTGACTCCGGTTGGAGGTCCCACCATGAGTATGAGCAGACGCCCGTAACCCAATCAATCAACTTTGAGCAAGACCTAAAAAAGCAGCCCATGTGCCCAGCATGGGGGGGGGTGACTAAAAAAAGAAAAAACAAAACCCACAACCACGGGCCGCCCCTCAGCTGCTGTGTGGTTGGTGTCCCTCGCTTGCTGGCTCTGCGCTGTGGAGCACCGGCTCTGCGTTCCTGCCCCGCCCCCCCATCCTGTATTGGCCGGCTCATCCTCCATTCGGACATCTTAAATAGGGCCTTTGCCATTCGGCGCCCTGTCAACCCGCTTTTTCCCCCCTTCTTTAAATTATATATCAGAGCGTAACTTGTTTATTGTGTCTCTCACTAGGAAGTGATTTCCCACTAGGGCAGATTGCCCACTCCTCAGCTTTGGGCTTAGCATAAAGTAGTTACTCAGGAAAATTTTTAAATGAATGAATGAATGAATGCTTGAATGTTCGTGATGGAATACTATATAACTGTTAAGATAGAATAAGGCAGATTTGGTGTAGAGCTGACACTCAGATACAACACTGAGAAGAGGAAAGTGGGAGGGAAGGTAAGAAGTTAGGATGACAAGTCATGGGGACCAGTTTGAGAAATGCGTCATTAGGTGACTTCATCCTATTGTAAGCATCTCCATTTACTTAAAGACAGCTACAGTGTAACTAGGCGATACATCTGTTTTTGGTTTGGGAAACAGGATCTCATTTAGCCAAGGTTGGCCTTGAACTCCCTATGTAGCCAGGGATGACTTTGAGCTTCCAGTTCTCCCCAGTGCGTGCTGGAGTGACAGTCCACCATGCCCATCGGTGACACCATCTATTGGGACATGGTTGTGTGTATGTATGAAGTCTGTGGCTGACAGAGATGGCGTTAAGTCCTATACCACCTGGAGGGCTTGTAAAAACCTCAGTTGCTGAGTCTCAGCTTCAGCACTGACTCTGCCTGGAACAGAGTCCAAGAATTTGCATATCTAACTTCCAAGGCAGTGTGTAGTAGCTGCTGGTTAGAGGGCTGCATTTTGAGGAGCATAGGCAAAGTTTTGGGACCTCACCCAATAAACTGGAATATATATATATAATATATATACCACCTGGAGGGCTTGTAAAAACCTCAGTTGCTGAGTCTCAGCTTCAGCACTGACTCTGCCTGGAACAGAGTCCAAGAATTTGCATATCTAACTTCCAAGGCAGTGTGTAGTAGCTGCTGGTTAGAGGGCTGCATTTTGAGGAGCATAGGCAAAGTTTTGGGACCTCACCCAATAAACTGGAATATATATATATAATATATATGTATATATACATATATATATATATTTTTTTTTTAAAGCAAAAGTTTTGAACTGGATCAG